TGTTATTGGGGGGCTCTTACAAATCTTGATAACAATCCATCATTCAATTATATTAAGCACACTTGCACATATGTTGCCATCAATGTTTACAAAACATTTTCTACTTTTTTCCTTGGTATCAGCTTCTCTTTTTTCCCTTCCCACCTCCACCCTCTTACCCTCATGAACCCTTGATCAATTATATATTATTGTTATTTCGTGTCTTACACTGTTCGCTGTCTCCCTTCATCTACGTTTCTGTTATTCATCCCCCTGGGGGGTGGGGTGGGCTATATATCCAACCTTGTGATAGGTTCCCCCTTTCTCCCTATCCCCCTACCCTCATGGTATTGCTACTCCCACTACTGTTCCCGAGGGATTTATCTGTCCCTCAGGAACAGAATTCCATGGAGAGCTCATATCTGTTCCAATGTGTGTACTCTGGTCTAGCCGGAATTGTCAGGTAGAACTGAGTCACAGTAGTGGGGAGGAGGAAGCATTCAGCAACTAGAGGAATGATGTGTGCTTCATCGGTGCCTTGAGTCAGTTCTGAGCTCTACCCCGAGGTCAGAGTAGAACTGTCCCTTTGCGTTTCTCAGACTAAATCTTCACAGAAATAGCTGGTGTTCTTGAACTGATGACCTTGCAGTTATCAGCCCAACACTTAAACCACTATGCTACCAGAGCACAATTAAATTGGCCACAGACCCAATGTAAATGAATTGCCGTGGTTGTGTGCCAGTAAGACTTTATTTAGAAAACCAAGCACCTGGCTGGCTATTGACTGCAGACGCCAGCTCTAGGAACGGAACATTGCAATCCGTGTCCTAAATTGAGTGCAGTCCAGAAGATGTGGAAGTTTTGCCTTTGGCTGGTCTTGAAGGAGACCTTTTCTCCTCCCAGCTAATTGTTCTTCTCCTGCCCGGGTGTGGGCGTTGTGCACTGGCTAATTGCTGCTAAGAAATTAGCCAAAGGACTTCTTATCCTGGCTGGAGGAAATGATGAGGGCAGAGTTAAACTCAGGATGTGACTAATTTTGTCCCTTGTCCTCCTCTCTCCATTAACTAGGGTTTTGCATGTTTGTGCTGAGTCTGGTCAAGAAGCACTACCGCCTGCAGTTCTACATGGTAAGGGCGATGCGTGTGCATGCATGAGTGCATGCCGGTGCCCATGAGCACAGGATTCCTGGCTGGAAGGAAGTGCTGTCAGAGACTGGCTGGCTGCTTAGAGCTCTGGTGCTCAGTGGGTTCTGGATGCATCTGGAACCTGGGGGAGGAAGGGACAGCACCCACTCAGTTTTTTGTCTGCTTGCTGTCCATAGAGCTGATCTCTGTTCATTAGCTGACACCCTAAGCAACCTCTCTACTAGGGGCCTGACAGCGGGCCCCAGGTGAAGTGGCAGGTGCCCCCAAAGATATCTCCCCTGATACTCACTTAGGTATCAGGTTTTTCCTTAGAAGCAGAACCGATAAAGGAGTTGTGTGTGTGTATTGCTCATTTTTGAGTTTCTCTTGGTTAAGTGGGGGATACTTGGGCTGGGGAGTGCAGCTAGGGGACAAAGCTTTACCCCGATGCCTATTCTGCATATTTTTCATTCCAAAAAGACAGGCTCAGACGCAGGTATCTCCCCTGCCATTTTTCTATTTGGTTCTGCTGGTTCTTTGGGGTCCTGCCAGTCAAGGCAGATCCATCAGTAGAGCTCCCTCCTTCTAACTCCCTCTCTTCTTCTGCAGTTTGGCTGGACCCATGTGACCTTGCTGATTGTTGTGACCCAGTCACACCTGGTAATTCATAACCTGTTTGAAGGGATGATCTGGTGAGTGAGAGTGGTCACGTTCCTCTCGTTCAATGGGTGCCTCTCCCCTGGAGACAGGGCTGTTTGAACCACCAGCCAGTGGTTCTCACTGAGTGGCCTCAGACTCCCCTGCAAGGCAGGTTACAACTCAGAGTGCAGCTGGTCCAGGAGGTCTGGGAAGGGGCCTGAGACTCTGAATGCCAAACACAATTCCAGCGGAGGCTGTTGCTGGCCACAATTTGCTAATCGCTGCTGTAGACGGATGATGGTGGGGACATTGGATAATGTTTGCGGGAATATTCAGAGAACCAAAGACTGTAATGATTGGGCAACCGAAACCTTTGAGGGCATTTTCATGACTTTGTAGAAAAGTGTAAAATACTAAATTTCCATGGAGAAGGCAACTCGAAAGGAATCACAAACTATGGGAAATGGCTTGAAAATCCACAGCTGGAAAAAGCAGCCAGGATCAGACGGGCTAGCAGCTGAGTCTTATCTAGCCCTTAAGCCCCAAACCGACAAGCATAAGGGAAAAGCCAGACTGGTGGACTCATTTCTCTTACGTGTGTATAGATAAACCATTCTCAGCTACATCTTAGCAAATGGAGTGAGCCCGTTTATCAAGAGAACAGTGTACTTACTACTGAGTAACCTATTCCAGGAATTCAAGAGCGAGTACACTGGGGAATCGCTGACCTCAGTCAGCCTTCGAACTGCTTCAGTGAGATGTCCGGTGACCTGGAAGCATAATCAGAACAGGAACAGTATTACTGGTGAACATCTTGGAAAAGCAGACTCGGGAGAGGCTTAGTGAACCCCTTCAGGAATCTGCTGTGTGAGATGGAATCACGGGCAGGACTGGAGAGAGACACAGTGTCACAGTGGTGAGAGAGGCCTCCATTTGTGAGTGGGCCGCCCCTGCGTCCAACTGTCCTCAAAATCCAACAAGCAAGAGACTTGGTGGTTATGCAAGTCTTGGGCCTATATTCCTCTCCCCCTCTGGTTCCCTCAGTGATAACTTGGTCTGTTCTGGTGCCTCTCCTGCTCTCGCAGCCCTACCTGTAACCAGGCTGTATTGATCTGCTGCCAGCCATGCTTAAGCTGTAAACCCTTGGACACCATTATCACCTCATGCTAATGGTCTCCCTCATTTGCATAATATGTCTTTGTCACTACCTTGTCCCATTTAAGCTTAATAAATGTTTTCTTAAAAAGACAAAAGCACTCGGTTCTGTAAGTGTTAGCGCTGGGCATTGTCTACAGCCATCATAATGGCCCGGGGAGATCGATGTACTGATCTTTCCCTTGTCTTCGCAGTTCTTATCGAGCAATTCTTAAGAATGGGGGCTGTTAGGGCCAAACATACCGCTTGAATGTCTGGTGGCTCATGCTAACGTGTCTCGGTATTGGGGACAGCATCCACTCTGAGAATCGGGTGGGCAGTGCCGGGGCCAGTGAGCAACACTGGAAAAGGAGGCTGGGAAGCCTCAGGGAACTACCGGAAGCAACTGTTCGGTTGGTGTAAGTTCCCTTGTGCACATTCTCAACAGCAGTGCAGCAGCAAATGACACAAAATTCCAGTTACCGCTTTTCAGAATCGACCTCAAGAGTTCATCATCGCCCAGAGAATGTGCTAGATGTACAATAATGCCCTCAATGAAGTCCAATAATGTCGTGAGGGGTGGGAGGAAAATAGGGCGAGGAGAGTCCTGTTGGCACCTCCCGCCCCTTCAACAGGAAGTCAGAAAATGCTGCCTGAAGCCGATGTGCCAGGAAACGACGGGCGGGCGTTGTTAACGCTGCCCTGTTGGGCTTTGTTGAGTTGGTTTTGACTCAGGTGTCTTGCGTCACAGACCTCTGTGCAGTCAAAACCCACTGCCTTCCAGTCACGTCCCGCTCGGTCACCCTGCGAGTAGAAGCGGAGCCCCTGAGCCCGCTCATCTTCAGGGAAGCAGCCAGCCTCATCGTTGTCCTGCTGAGCGGGTCTGACCGCCAGCTTTGGGGCCAGCAGCCCAAACCAGCCAAAATCGCCACCAGGGCTCCTTTCAGGTGCAGCAGAAGGAACCAGGCCTACGTGGCACTGAGGACCCGGATGACTGACAACTGCCGTCCGGGTCCGCCATGCAGTTAGATTTGACTTATTTGGTGTGGTTTTCTTTTTAACTTTTTCCTTAATGGATTAGCTCATGCCCGCTGCCACCAAGTAGATTCCAACTCATAGTGCCTCTCTAGGACAGAGTAGAACTGACCCTTAGGCTTTCCCAGGCTGTATACACGTCGGTGTTCCCCAGAACAACTGGTGGATTCAAACTACCTGCACTGGTTAGCACACAGTGCCACTTTCTTCCTGCCTTCCAGGACTTGATAGGTTTATTTATTTTGGGGGTCGGGGGTGGGGTGGGGGTGGAGCTACCTATGCATGGCATTGTTGTGTGGCCTTTGAAGGAGCTGTTACCTTGATAAAGTTGATTCTGACTTTGCTCGGTTCCCTAGGTTCATCGTCCCCATTTCCTGTGTCATCTGCAATGACATCATGGCCTACATGTTTGGCTTTTTCTTTGGTCGGACCCCGCTCATCAAGGTAAGTGGGTTACCCAAAGCCCAGGCATCTGGAGGGCAGGGTGGCTGGTTCAGCTCCAGGGGATCCATCAACCTTCGGCACGGGGAGGAGATCTGGTTGCTGTGTGTTGTGGCCTTGTCTTTATGTTAACCCTGGGGAAAGGTGGGCTCACAAGAACTCATCGTAAATTAATTTTACGAGAAAAGCGTAAGAAAGACATTGGCAACTGCTCAGGGGAGGAAAGAGCCCAGGAAGACAGCCGTTTTCCTTTCAGACTGTAGGCACCTCTGCAGCCTCCCTCTGGATTTGGGTGCCATCGCTTTGCTAACATGTGAAATCACCTGAATGACCTATTAAAACGTGAAGGAGACAGGGGTGGGGGTATTCGAGGACTGGGAATCGAAGCCCCGGGAAGGTTTAGGCAGTGAGGTGGTTAACGGAATGGGGTTTTTATAAGGTTTGGGTGGTGAGGTGGTTAACGGAATGGGGTTTTTATAAGGTTTGGGTGGTGAGGTGGTT